GCTGAATGGGTCAGCAAGAAGATAATTTACAATTCGGCACGGTTTTAACGAACACATGTATGCAAAACATGGGTTGCTTAGGGGCAAAAACCATGCTCAACTGTCTACCTGTGTAATCAGGGCTTACGTGATGCTACTTGACGGTTGCAGCCAGGTTGGTCGATGATCAACTGATCATCAAAGCTTGATTAGTTCATCGCCCTAGCAGTAATAAGTGATGATTAGATGGGCCTTTGACTTGTGGGTATGGAAACAACGAAACATTTTCTGAACCCAGGTTTTGGTCGAGTCAGCAGTCCTGAAAATCCCAGAATCAATGAATCCATGGCGTGCTCAGAGATCACACTTTATCTTAGTGCAGATTGCATCCGTTTGGAATCGGTCAGCACAATGGATGCCGGCTCTTGCCCCTTCCACATTTTTTTAACCGCGATGTAGGTGCATATGTCTATATACATGTACATATACTTTTTCTTCACCCAACAACTTCATTTGAACATCACATGGTCGCAAGAAGAATCTTCAGAGGCACTTGTCGTGTTTGTGTAAATCCTGCGGATCTGCAGCCGTCCCAAAGATTTCAAGTGGCATTGGGTGCAAGCCCCAATCAACAGGGGCCAACGCGAAACAAGGCGAGGTTGAAACATTTGCGCGCGCGGTTTTAGAGACATATTTTGAGTAATTAAGTACGCGGTACAAAAGTTTAAATGTCATTCCGTTTGCTCTCGACGCAATTGTATTGCTTTATGCATATCCGTCCATTCTTGTATTTGACTGGTGCATTGCTGTGTAGGTATGGCCCGGGACGGCTTGAGCAACATGCAAGAACCAAAGGTCTTGCCAGCTGACCTTAAATGCTGCGAGTGCTTGCAGGCCACTTTAAAACCTGCACAGTGGAGGTGTACCACTCGGAAAAAAAACACAGACCAAAATCGAAGTAGCTTCGGGAAAGGTGATGCCTCGGCCACCTCCACTGCGCAGGTTTTAAAGCGGCTCGCAAGGACTCGTAGCATTTATTTTGAAGACCAGCCAGGAAGACCCTCGACTTTTGCATGTTGTACAAGTTTTCCCGTGCCATATCTGGACAGCAAAGCGGCAGGCCAGAAGAAGATGCGACATAAACTAGCAGAGAATTGTGTGTGTTTGTTTTGTCGAAGAACTGCGTACGCGAAGGGATGCGTTGGGCGAAAGGTAAATGGCAGGTGTCAGGTTCTAACCCGTTGGCAGGAGTGGTGTGCTCCATTCATAAAGCAGTCTTGTGTGCTATCGGCCGCTGACGTGTTAGCTCTAGTCAAACAGCGCCTAGCGAGTTTTTTGAATACGTGCGAGGCGTTTGTGGCAACCTTGTGCTGTAACAGTGCCGAGCTTCGGACATGGGCGCGGGGCTGCACATGCAGATCAGATGCAGATAAGAAGGCGACAGACTGTAGCATAAAAGAAGGGAGGACAATTTCAACGGAGAAACGAACAACAGGGAACAAGGCTGATGTGTTTTGCTGGGGTCATTCGAAATGGTGGAAGGATCGTCAATGTCGATGGGTCGGTAGGAGGCGTCAAAAATTTTACACATGTAAGCGTCGCGCGGCAGTAAAGGTACAAAACAGGCTGGCAGCAGAGGTTCAAGGTTGTTGCAAGCAGCGAGGACTGGTAGCGGAAAGAAATAGTTCGAAAAAGCAGGTGGAAGGTGGTGGGGAGGGCGCCGGTGAAAGAAACAAGCACGAATCAACACCAACAACTACGCAGCGTCATCCCCTTGTGCTTCCCCAGGCGCAGGGGTTGGCGGATTGTTTCGGTGGGAAGAGCCTATACATACGCCAAGTTCATATACCAAATTCTGCGCATCAGACCAAAAGCAGCAGCAACAACGAGAGGAAAGCGAACAACAATGGGACAAATTATTGTGAAGCAATGACCCGATGGGTTCGCCAAGGTCGTTTTGGAGGAGGCGGTGCAGAACGACTGCAGTGTTTCATTTGTCTGGGTTACAAGAGGGCATATGTCCCCAAACAATGGAGTGATGAGTATGTGACGCATTGTCGCACTTGTGGTCGCGGAGCATGCAATAAACACGGAGCTTGGGAAGTGGCGCAATTCCACTGTGCACTTTGCCACGGAAATGACGATCCTTTACTGTCGGGTGTAAAAGATACTTTTGCAATACGATGTCTCAACAAGGCCTTTCGGAAGCAAAAGTTGCTGCACCGAAACGAGGAAGCTTTTTACGACTTCATGCTAGCCCTCTGCGCAGACAGAACCAACCTTCGGCTGGAAGCAACGTATAAGGACGAAGCATTGTTGGACGCACCGCCACAAGAAGCAGCAAATACAGTACTGACTTGGGAGGACGCGCAGCAACTGGTGGCAGCAATCTTGTTATCTAGACTTGGAACAGCAGAGGACGTAGCTAAAGTACTTGGGCAGAGTGGGTACCCGCTTGGGATGGCTGGAAAGAATTGCAAACAAGCAGAACAGAGGCTCACTGCGTTGCAATTGCGGACCGTCTGTGTGACATCGCGCAGTTAAATGCTCCTGGCCGAAGCATGACTGATACCGAAGCTTTAAAGGCTTTGGCAGCTGAAGGGTTCAGGTGGCAGCAGGCGCTGTCACACGGCGTCAACAATTGCCTAATCGATTCCTTGATCCTGTGCTTAGCATACGAAGGTCTTTTGCCAAGCAACTTGGGCGCAGATGTTGCGGCAAGACGACGCATTGCGGTTGCATGCAGAAAGCATTTGGCTCAAGCGGTTGGGCACGCAGTACTTCCAAGCGCGAAGGGTTTCTTTCCATATTTAGATGCGCACCGTGACAGCCCCCACATTGTGACATTTCTGTTGCAACGATTTCGTGCTGTCGCGCGCGCTAACATGACAATTCACGTGCACGACCGATTTGGTGAGTGCACAGCAGACCCAGACCGGAACAAGATTCTTGTGCATCTTGGGTTCGAGCACTCCGAGCACCATGCCTTGCAGCTGCATATATACAATCACACCTCTGTGCAAGGCAGGGGATATCATTTTGATAGTCTGTTGCGCCAAACCACTGTGCGTGAAGCTGAACCAACCGTAGAGACGGACGCAAAGCCCGACGCAACAATGCACAGCATGAGTACAGGCAACAACATGGACGGAACAGAAAAAGACGTAGATCGAAGAGCAGAAGCAGTATTCGCCAAGCTGGCATGGCGCCTTTGCAGGTCTAGTTTTGACATTTCCTGGCTTGAAGCATTGCTATTGAATTTACTTTTTCATGGATACCTTTCTGTGGGACCTTCTGTGACGGCATCTCCGAAAGTACGACATCAACTGTGCAGATCATGCCAAAGACATCTCAAATTGGAGCCAAAGCCGGACGAGGCATGCGCGCAGACTTTCGATTCGCAAAGCGACCTTGCGGCCGCACTATTTTTTCTTCTGGGAACCAGCAACAAGGGTGTGAATGCTGATGTATATGTGCATGATGCAAGTACAACTGATTTGAATGTACCACGAGATAGTTACAGTATCGGTCCACCTGACAGTTTGCTAGTGCCAATTTTCCGACTCTATTGTTTTCAAAATGGTCAGTATGCCGCATTATTGCCGGATGTGCCCGCAGCATTATCGCAGCAGGAACCACCATTGACAATGCACGTAAGCAGCTATTCCAACCAAGAGACGCAAGATGTGATTGGAACGGCAGATGCAGGCAGTCGCGAGCCCATCGGTAATATGGACCAAATGCACGAGATTTTGCAGCGCTTTTGTGATAGCCGGGGCGCAAAGGTGCAAATCAGTAAAGCAGACGTTCGTTGTTTGCACGAAGCGTGGTCAGACAGGGATGCGGAAGGCATCTGTCTTCATACACTGTTGCAAGCAGGGTTAAGATTTGCAGATAGTGGGATGCATCACGCCCGCCGCTTAGCAGACCAGTTTCGTAGTTTTTGGAATTGCTGCACGCAAGGTGCAGGAGAAACACTGGCAGGAACTTCGACTTCAGCTGCCACAAACCACGAAGCCAAGCACCGGCCGCCGACTGTTGTCCGCGATCGAAAAGACGCGCAACAACTCGTCATTGCTTGTTTGTTGTCGAAAGTCGCTGACTGGGAGGACCTCAAAAAGATACTCGGACAACAGTGGGTATCTGAGTGGGAAGGATGGCAAGAACTGCAGCAAGACATGACTGAAGAAAATTGCATGCGTGTGGCGGCTCGTTTGCATGCTATCGCGTTGCAGCAAATACCGCACACGAGCGTCACAAATGCAGCTGCGCTCTGCACTCTAGAGGCTGTGGGTTTGTCTGTGCAACCTGCGCAGTCCTTTGGTGTCAATAATTGCCTTATCGATGCAATTTGTCTCTCTCTGTGCGCATCAGGTCTGGTGCCCAAAATATTGGTTTCCGACCTCATAACGAGATGCGTGGTAGCCATGCAATGTCGGCAGCATTTGGTCAGAGCGATTGGGCCTGTAGTGGCGCCGGATGCAGCAGGAGGCTTTCCGTATCTAGATGCAGAAAGGGATGGGCCGGAAATTGTCCATTTCTTGCTGAAGGAGTTCGATGTCATGCCTGCGACAAATATATCGTTGTGTGTGCACGATCGTTTTGGAAATTATGCAAGCGGATTACCGCGAGTCCAGGTTATGGTAGTAGGAACGACAGCCGTAGTCGAAGTGGCTGCATGCAAGTTACACATTTTCAATTACACGTCCGAGGCAGGTCTAGGTTATCATTTTGACAGTTTGAAGTGTTGTGTGCCTCAGGTCACAGACATTATGAATCGGGCGGAGGGTGATTCGAGCGTAGGCGAACAAAGGGTAAAGAATGCAGCGGAGCAACTTGTGACAGCGTGTCTTTTTTCGAAAACAGGAGATTGGGAAAGCACAACAAAAATCATGCAGCAGGATTGGGTCGCACAATGGAATGGGTGGCAGGAATTGCAGGAGAACGTATCAGAGGACATGTGTATGAATGTTGCAACCCGTTTATATGCGATCGGGTCGCGGAACATGCATGCGTCCAGCATGTCCAATGCTGCGGCGTTGCAAGCGTTGGAAGATGCTGGTCTTCGCTTGCAGCGAGCGCACTCTTTTCGCATGAACAATTGTCTCATTGATTCCATAATCTTGTGTCTATGCAATAGCGGCCACCTGCCGTCGACGCTGCCCGCAAATATGGTGGCACGATGTCAGCTGACGGTTCAGTGCCGGGATGCGTTAGCCAAAACACTCGGTGCCGTTCGGCAACCAAATGCAATTGGTCAGTTTCCGTATTTGGATGCCGCGCGTGACGGGCCCGCGGTTGTGAAATATCTTTTTGAAGAGTTCAAAGTCATACCTTTACCACCGCTGGTGCTGTGTGTACATGATCGGTTTGCTGACTCATTTGAAGCTTCATTCTTCAACCGCGTCCAAATGCCGTGGTCTGCCGTAACAGAGTCCGACCGAACGACAGAATTACACATTTTCAATTACACAGACCACCGTGGACAGAGCTACCATTTCGACAGCTTGAAGCTGAAGCCTGCAGCCGCACGGAATGTAGATGCTCGTGCCCGAAAAGGTACATGCGCACAAAAAAGCAGCGGGACAATTCTTTTAACGAAGGCAGACAGAGACGATGCCCAAGGCGAAACGGCAAAGCCTGAGGCAGAGGTGCGCGAAGCAGATACCGCGGAGCAACCAAACATGGCAGCAAGGAGCATCGAGTCTGAGATCTTGGGCGCAGACCAGAAAGCAGTCGATGTGTCAAAACTGAAAGAAGAGACATCGGGAAGCAAAGGCGCCCGCGTGAGGTCGCGAACGCCGCCGCATGGACGTCCAGCGGGCGCAGCTGCATCAGTGCCGGACCTGACACCGGAACAATGTGCCAGTGACGACGAAGGTCCGGCCATGTGTGTTGCAATCGGGGGTGCGTACAACAGCCAGCGAGAGGTCCAAAACCTCTTGCAAGCCTTTTTCCGCGGCCGCTGTGAAAACATAACGATTTACCCAACAGACGCACAGGAGGTGATAGCTGCTTGGAACGACCCCGTTCGACTACGTCAGAAGTTGTTGGTCTTGTTGCAAGCCGGCTTGACATATGCCGACGCAGGAGAGGCGGCGGCCGAGCGGTTGCGGCAGCAATGGGCAGCTTACTACCTAGCATGCACCCAAGGCCCCACACGAAAGCGAGACGCAGAAGGGGGATGGCGACTAGAAAGTGCTCAGGAGTCCCCTAGACCGGATGCGGCTCCGCCACGCAAACGTTTGCGTGGAAAGACGACTGTTCCCATCGCGCCAGACGCAAGCCCAACGACCGCGACATTGATGGAAAACAGCGAGCCTGCTTTACAAGGCGATGAATACCTTCTAAAAGTGTGGGAAACAAGGCATGGAAACCCAGACCCGAGAGCAGCGCTAGATGACAAATTGGCAAACTTGATCCAAGTGCACTTGCGGCGGAGGCCACTGCTACCGATTTGGTTAGAATCAGATACATCGGAATTTGGGTACGATACGAGGAACTTCTTTTGTTCTTTTAAGAACTGTGACTTCGAAACAGATTGCGAGAATACATTCGAAGAACATCTCCAGGATGTGCACAGCGAGGCTTTACATTTGGATTTTTCTCCTAGTACACAGAAACGCAGAGTGTTGTCGACGTACCGACGTGCCTTAACGGCCGCATGTCAACAACAAGCACCCTGCGCGCACCGGGCAATCGATCGCCGCTGTCTACGGCAATATCGGATTGCTTTAGGCGAGGACCGCGTGGGCGCAGGCATTTGTTTCGTATGCGCGCGCAGGTTTCCATACAGCCACGGTATGGAAGCCACCGACGAAATACAGTGGAAATCTTTGCTGGACCGGACTGCGACCAATTTGCTAGGCCTGCCGCTGGACGATGCAAGAGTCGTCCTCGGGTACGACGCATATTGGAGCCAGTATGGCGTTCAACATGCTGAAGCCGTGCAGGCGCGCCTCCGCGAAGACTTGCGCGATTGGTGCGCGGTAGTGCACACAAAAGCAGGCAACTTTGAAATCATTTGCTGTCCGGAAGACAAGCAATGCAGGAATCGATGCCGCGGTAACGAAATTTGCACATCGTGCTACGCTCCAGTGTGCTATTCTTGTCATTCAATGCTGCGAGAACACAAACAATTGCCGCCCGAAGCCTTGGCGAACGACATGCTAATTTTTTACCCGCCGAAACAATTGTACGAACAAGAAGTTACATTTATGGAGCTGGTGTGTGCGAGCCCGTGCTTCACGTCCATGACGTGTTTCAGCTTAGAAAAAAAAAGGTTAGCAGACCGAGCCCTAGATCAAGATGCCTTCATGCCCCGCAATCGGCTCGTGGCACGGGGGAACGCAACCACTTTTCCATTGCCGTGGGAAGATTTCGCTCAAAAGTTGCAGGTTGCAGCATCGAAATCACAAGAAGGAAAATTGCTGTTGCCCAGGATCGGCGCGGAATTGGCGGAAACCATCAACGTGATCATCAAAGCTGGCGCGTGGGACAGCGAGAACACAGATCCCGCCAAAATAATCCATCAAGCGCGCGTGCGACGCGCTGTTGTGCTAGAATTGCTCCGAGATGCACAAGAAAGAGGGCATCCAGCATACGCCAACCTGATGTTGGAGGAGGCCGCCAGGCGAGCGGAAGCTTTGCCAGAGGATGGCGTACCAGCGGAAATAGTAGCACTTCTGCCGCACGACAACGATCTCGACCACGTGCAAAGGCAAAAGGCAGCAACTCCAGTTCGAGAACATCTGTCGGTCGAAGACGTCGAGGAGGAGTTTGCGACTATGTGCAAGCCAAATGCTGTTGTGAACGAACGGACATCGCTGGGATTTGGTGATGAGAACGCGCAGCATGTCGCCGCATTATGCGACCTTGCGTCTCAAAAGATGCCGGCAGAACAAACTTTCGTACTCCACACGGGCAACCGACTATTGGACCAGTTTGAGCCGTGGTACTTTGCCTTTGCCTTTCCATTCCTCTTCCCGTACGGTACCGGAATGCCGGACACGCCAACGTGGAGTACAAAGCCACGGTATCGTCGGAATGATCCTGCACCCCGGTTGGAACTCAGCGCGTGGATGCGGTGCTTAAGCCGGCGATGCGAAGCACAAGTCAATCGAGACTGGATTTTCGGTTTTGCGCTATGGAACTTGTTTTTTCGTTCCAAAATCAATCTTTCGCCGAGGACCCAAATCTATGACACGCAAATTTACGACGAAAAATGCAATACCTTCCGCAAACTCCGAAGCCAAGACATTGAAGACGGTGCGTTGCAGTTGCTCAACGCGTTGAGCGGAAGCTACAAAGACTCCCGAGGCAATGCCAGACCGGTGAAAGGAGATATTGCTAAGTTGGCTTATGTGCCTGGTTTGCGTTCCGGTGCTCGAAAATTGTTGCAAAATCTAAAGCACATCTCAACCGAGTTGCCAGGGACCCAAGAAGCTCGCAAACAGATGCGGCACGAAATTAAAGCAATGCGCATTCGATACGGCGTACCGATTTTCGTGACAGTGTCACCGGATGAAGCGCACCAATGGCTTTTCATCCGAATGGCCCGCACGCGCGAATCCGACCCAATCCGGAGAGCCTCGCCATGGCAGGAATGGACGTGTGGAGATCGAGAATTCCCGCCTTCAGAGACGGACGTCAGTTTTCCGATCAGTGTGGAACGCTTGTGTCGCGCGATCCCCTCCTGGCAGCAGCGGCGTGCATTACTCGCGCGAGACCCTCTGGCATCTGTAGACGGCTTCCGCACTCTATTACAATTATTGCTGCAACACATTTTTGGCGTCAAGTTTTGTTCCCAATGCCCGGATTGTGATCACTTGGGCACCCCATGCATGGATGAAGCTGGTAGCAATGCAAGCTTTCTGGGGGGTGTCTTTGGTCGCATGGAAGCGATATATGTCACCATCGAAGCCCAAAAATCGACCGGATGTTTGCATGGTCATATGCAATGCTTTGTGCAATGTTTGCATCAGCACACACCGTTAACGGAAATTTTCGAATTGCCTCCCGATAGGTTGGACGCATTGCGACAAGAATACTGTCGTTATAATGCACATGTTGTGCACAGCATCTACACTGGGCAAACGGACTCTCAAATAGAAGCCGGCATTAAAGACGCGGAGGACAGTTGGCCCGAACATATGCACAATCCACGCATGATGTCCATCCCCCAATACCAAACTCGACGAGCACCGGCTCGAGCCAAGATGGGTGCATCGAACGCATGGACGAAGGAAGCCGACAAATGGACACAAGACTACTTGGCAGACGATATAGTGAGCCTACAGTTTTTAAAGCAGCATCATTACCACCCTTTCAACGCTGAAACTGGTGAACGCGTGCCTTTACGAGGCTGCCAAAGAAATGACGAAAAAGGCCTTTGTAAATCTGAGTTCCCTCGCTCCCAGTGGCTCTGTTCCGCGGCCAAAGTTTTGTGCCCCTGCGAGATGGAAACTCATGGCTTCCCGCAGCGAGGTCGTAAAAATCGTCTTGGAGCTTTGCATGGCCCGTATGGTCACCCATATCTGAACCCGTGCCACCCGGCGATTTTAGCGGCAATGCGTGGTGCAAACAACGATGTCCAAATCCCATACCGCTTGCCGTTCACTTGTGACACCTGCGGCTCCATGCCGTCCATAGCCGAAAGACGCGCCATTGCGTTAGCGGCCCAACGGGCTCAAGATGCGCAAACAGGTTATTGCAGCGATTATTGCTCAAAGAATCAGCCAATGGGATTTCATGAAATCAAAGAATTTCAAAAAGGGCATATTGCGTTACACGCAAACTTGGAGGTGGCCAACGCAGACATCAGTACCATGGGAAAAAGACATGCCAGCCGCCTGCTCAGCGATGCGTATTGCAAAGGCTTAGTCCGAGGGCAAGTCGAATGTTGCAACTTACGGGCTAACCACATCGACGGGCAGATTGTGGCCGCAGAACGTCTTTCAACCACAGGATTTGTACTGTTCCCCGGCCACACCTTCATTCGTTTGCTGGAACAGTTGACTGGAGACACTGACGACCAACCGCAAAGAAGACATTATGTGAAAACAGGAGTGCCCAAGGGGAACGGAGCAAAACATTTGTGCGAAAGCATGACAGCGGCAGCTTACGGCCACCGGCCTGTAGACTCTGAAACCTGGTGGTTGTCTCCATATGAATTCACCATGCAGTGGGAAATCCGCCCGACACGCGTGCCGCATACTTTGCGCGAGTGGGAATCCACGGTTCCTGAAGACTGGGATGTGACAGTGACGCAAGCGGGAATGCAAAAATTAGAGTCCGCTGCGCCACACGCGCCCTTGCATTTGAAACCAGGTTCGCATTACACAATACGTTTGACTGGACACAAGGACCGCGTACTGTTTCCAGCGAAGGCGGAAACCGCTGCACTACGACATAATTGGTACCTCCACCGTCGTTGCCGACCGCGCTGTCCACACTTCGGTCGGACGCCTGTGCCACAAGGCTTTGCCGAAAACGTCGAAAGGAACGCCAAACTGACCAGTGTTTACTTTCGGGCGTGGACTTTAAACGCAACGACTGCTACGCACAACGTACCGTACTTGGGCAACTTGCTGGGCGAACACACCTCATGGGAAGATTCCTTGCGGGCCTGGCTGCAGCGCTTGCCGTCCGCCGACACGAAGCAATACGTAGGAAATTTCCTGTCCGTTTTCCGCGTGCGTCCAGCCGCCGAAGCCGACAGTAATAGTGATGATGACAACGCGGACACAAAGTTCCAATTGAATCACGAGAACCTGGGGAAAGCACTGCGTACGCAGATGCCTCCGCAGAAAAAAAACGGGACGAAGGCATGGAACGACGATCGTTCGCAAGATGTAGCTGCCGCCTTTGCGTGCCTCGAGACTTTCTGGGCACGGCCGTCCTTTGGAGACAACACGCCGCAAACAACAACTGGTTTTGCGCAACTTGATGCAGAGGCAATTCAGAAAGCAGCGCGTAAGAAACCCACTGCTACGGTGCCACGTGACACCACCGTGCCAGCTGTGATCACTTCGGAGGAGACGCCAGACTATGTCACTAAGGTGGCGCGTTGGAAGCAAACGCTTGCCAACAGCTCGGTCTGCAACGCCGAACAAACCCAATTTTGCCACCAAGTTGCTGACCGGATCGTGCAAGAATTGAACGACCTCCGGGACGGAACGGAGGACGCAGGTGGAAGTAGCGAACCGTTGCGTTGGGTTTTGCACGGCGGTCCTGGCACGGGAAAATCTTACACATTACGTTTACTGCGGGAAAAACTTTTCGAAGAAACTTTGTGTTGGCAGCACGGCGTGCAGTTCCAAATCGTTAGCTTCCAAGCGGTAATGGCAGACTTACTCGGTGGAGATACCATTCACCATGCATTGGGGTTGGATTGGAACGGAGACTCCGCGTCTAATGCGTTACGTGCGTGGGAGCGGGCACGCCACACACTGCAGTGGCGCTGGCTTATCTTGGACGAGTTTAGTATGGTTAGCGCGGAACTCTTGGCGCAGTTGGAGCTCCGCTGCCGGGAATTGATACGTGATTTGGGTGTTTCAAAGTACCGTCGACATGCAGGCGACTCTCGTCCCTTCGGCGGATTGAATATCATCCTCGCCGGAGATCTGTACCAACTTCCGCCACCGAAAGGCACGTTTTTAGGCGACATACCGTGGGACCTCGTGGCCGGCCGCAAAGCATCAAAACGAGCCACCGGCCATCATGGCCAAACTTTACTGTGGGGTGGACCTTCCTCAGGCATGCAAGGTGTGACTGAGTTGGTGCGCTGTGAGCGGACCGCCGATGCCTGGCTCACGGAGGTGCAACAGCAACTGCGGTACGGACAATTGTCGAATGATAACCACGCATTTTTACACGGCAGGCCTACGTCCGTACCAGGCAGTTGGCTCGGTGGGCGCATCACCTGCGGCAACGCCGTGTGTGGAAAGATCGCATCTGCTAACGCATCGCCGGAGCAAATTCTAGCCCAAGAATGCAGGCATTGCAGAACGGAGCGCTGCGCGCGTCAACGAGTCGCCACCGCCGACGATCCGCGCGTGGCCGCAGCATTCGCGGATGCAGTGGCCATTTTCCCAACAAACGACATCAAATACCATGCGAATAAATTGCGCGCTTTGGAATGGGCCAGCGCTAGACAAAGACATTTGTATATCGCGGTCGCGCAGGACACGGCTTCCAGCGCCGTCTTAAATGAGAAACCGCATTTAGCTGACGACAAGTTGCAGTGGCTCCAACGTCACGACAAAGAATGTGGTGGCTTGTATGGTGTCTTGCCTCTGTGCATCGGCATGCCCGTGCGAGCCGCGGATCATTTGGACCGAGCGCGAGGCATACTCCGCGGATGCAAGGGCATCGTGTTGGGTTGGTCTGATTCTCAAGGTGACGTCTCCGACGGCGTAACTCTATGGAACAAGTTGCCCGCAGTGGTTTACGTTAAGTTTGAGACAAGCACACCGTTTCAGATAACTGGGCTTTCCGAACCTAACGTATACCCTGTGTCTGTGACAAAACGAACTTGGTTTTTGGATCGGCAACGGAAGTTCCCACGTCTTCGAATTCGCCGCGTGCAGTTTCCTCTCGTGCCGGGGTTCGCG